ATCAGTACAGGGGCTGGCATATCACTGATAATCAATAAAATATTTGTTGAATGAATAAATGCAGGCGGGGACATTATCTGATTTACAGCTGTCTACCCAGCTCTTAGACGAGTGCCTGCCACATAAAAAAATTTAAAGATTCGTGGAATAATAAATAACTAATTACATTTATTTATTTATTCTGCAATCACTTATATTGTTATTACATAAAAATTTGATGTGTAGATTCAGTATTAAAACCTCAACTGCTACTCAAGAGGCCAGGATTTCATTCCAAACCAATAAAGCGTAAGTGTAACTTTTCTAGTAGAATGTAAGCCCCATGAAATGAACTGTCTGAGTTAGTTTTCCTTAATGTTTTTAATAAAAATACATTAAATGAATAAATGCTAACTTCCAACAGTCTATTCTAGAAAGAAAAACAACAAAAAGATAACAACAAAAAACCACTGTGCAGGAAAAACCCAAGTTCTTCCTTCTGCTGTAGTAAGAAGCATCTTTCATGATGACATCTTGAGACATTTTAGCTCAAAATTTCCAGCCTGTGAGAAGATGGTACCATCCATACAACTGGGCCAGCACCTCTGATTAATTGTTAATCCAACTTTTATGAGTTTTCTCAGTGTTAACCGCAATCCAATTGGGGGTGTATAAATTTAAAACCAAAAAAAAAAAAAAAAGAAAAAAGACTGTCTCAGGAATGAAAAATAAATGTAATCTGAAATCAATATTTATGAAGTTGTGATTAATTGACTGATGACCAAATGATTACAAAACGTCTGCCTGAAACATCTACTCAAATTTATTAGCTTTGACCAAAAAAATTAAAAAACAATCTGAACTGGGTCAATGAAAGAATAATGCATTCCTAATCAATTTTTAATAGCACTTAAGATTTTATATTTTTTTAAACTTGCTTTTAAATAATTTATCATAAAAATGAATCCGATTTAAACAAGGAGTAAAAGGTGTTCCACGGCTATTTGATGGTTTTCTTAGCAAAGAAATTCAATTGTAACTGACTTTTTATTACTGAACTACTTTATTAATAATAATACATCTTGCACTTACATGAAGGCATTTAGCCAACAATCTCAAAGAGTCTAAGTGAGATCTAGGATTTAGCTCCCATTCTACCATTATCTGGTGGTTTACCTTATCTAGGCCTCAATTTCCTCATTTGCAAAAGGAAAGGCCTGCATAAAACCCCCTAAGATCCTTCCTACTTCTAAAAGTTTATAATTCTAAGGATTTTGGAGGCTTTAGCCTATCCCAGGTGCTGTATGTATCTGATCAAACTCCTCAGGTCACAGGACTCCTCATGGGGCTACGAAGAAGCTGAGAAAGAAATTAAGCAGAAAGTCAACAAGCCATGTAATCTTTGTTTTCCTATTAAAGTAATGGCAGCATTATTTAATGATTTGGGCCAAATAATATCTGTTTAGAATATGATTTGTCAAGATGCCATATCTTATTAAAATTAAAGCAAATGTGAATTAAAGCATTGCTTTGGTTTTCTATTGCTGTGGGACAATTCACCCCAAAGCTTAGTGACTCAAAACAACAATAAATATTAATGATCTCTGATAGTTTTTGTAGGTAGGAATTCAGAAGTGACTAAGCTGGGAAATTGTAGCTTGGGTTCTTTCAGAAGGTTGCAGTCAAGATGTTCACTGGGGCTGTAGTCATCTGAAGGTGTGAATGGGGCCAGAGGATCCATTTCCAAGATGGCTTAGTCACATGACTGGCAAGTTTGTGTTGGCTGTTGGCAAAAGGCTTCAGATCCTCCCCAAGTAGGCGTATCCACAATGCTGTCTGAGTGTTATTTGAGGCACTTCCACAGGGCAAGCAATCCAAGAGAGCAAAGCAGAAGCTACAGTGACTTTTATGACCTAGCCTTGGCAGTCATACATGTCACTTCTACCATACTCTATTGGTCATACAGGGACAGCTTCACGGGCATGAAGCTGTGTAGTCACACAGGGCCCTACATTCAGAAGAGTCCTGCACTTGGTTTAAAGCTTTGATGCTGCCATGTTGATATTCTTAATCATTTTATCTTTGGACTTTCGAAAGTGAAGTCAATAGGAACCATGGAGTACACAGGTGAGCAAAGAAGGTACTTGCAGTATGTGTATTCACTGCTATTCCTTGCCACCCCTTTGCATACGGTGTTAGCAATGCACAGAATTCTGGTGGGAATTCAATGAAACTCAAAGCAAGGACAACGTCAGCGTATTTTGGAAGCCTCCAGCTTCCAGAGTGTTGGGAGAATGTGCACGTATTAAGAAGTGAAATAAAGAGTTAATTTTGCACATCACCAAAAAAGAGAAATGCCCTTCATAGGGCAGAGAGAAGAGAGAGTTCCTGGCCTTAAAGCATTTGAATTATTTAAAGCAAAGCCTGGGAGTTGGCCTGGAATCAATCTGGACCTAGAGAGAGTCCTAGTCAGTCTGTATTGTTAACGATATTACTCAGGTGTGTGTGTGTGTGTGTGTGTGTGTGTGTGTGTACTTATTCACAAATCGTTAGTGAGCAGAGCAGGTATGTTATGGTATGATCCTATCTGTGCTTATGCACACAATAATATATGAATGAAAATGTTTGTAAGGATATGCTCCAGAATGTTGATAGTGATTACCAATCAGGATCGAGAGGTAAAGCATAAGCTTAGAGGAACTTTTGCTTATTATTTTATATATTTATAAATGGCTTAATTTTCAAGATGACTCTTACTATTGATATTTTTATAATTAGCAAAATGCAATACAGTCTTCCATTTTGAAGTGAAAAACAAGTAAACACAATGTGTAAAGCAGCCTGGGTCTGTAATAAAGGTAGTTGGTGGCTAAAGAAAATATTACGGTCTGTGGACTAGTCACTCAGTACCAGATGCTAGATAAATCAAATACAATCCCGGGCCTCAAGAAACAGACAGTCTGTTGTAGGGGCAAACAAATAAACAATCAACTATAATAGAACGTTATTAGCCTAGTGCAAAAAGAGCTATATGGACAGAGCACTAGAACAGCACTGAGAAGCTGTGACAATGATACACGAGGGATGTTCGAAATAGTCTAGATTTAAACATTCTACTTAAAATGTTGGTTATGATTTTTTAAATATATTTTTGTGACTGAGTACTAACACCAATCATCAGGATGATTAACAAGAAATGAACTTTCCCTAGTAGCTTTGGAAAAGTCTTTTTTTAAAAAAACTGTCTTCAACGTGTCTTCCTATTGCACTGTCTCCAAGGCTTGGTGTGAGAGGTAGAACAGTCTCAGTCCTACATCCCCCTCAGAGGGTGGGAATGACAGGTCCTAAAATACCACATTAGGTATAAAAAAGGTGAGAACAAGGTGAGAACAGGGAGGAACACAGTAAGATGGGGAAAAGGCAAACCTTGAACGAAGGTGGGTAATGACTTGGAGCTTTCGCATTCTGAAGCCTGAGATTTACAGCCAGGAATATGAAAGATGCATTTAGCAAAACATGTGAAGCCGAGACCCCATTTAATATGACTCCAAACAGCCAGGAAATAGGCAAACCAGATGACTTTTAGGCCAGTCATTCAGAAAAAAAGTGGCCATTAAACAGACAATCAATATGACTATTTTGCCCAGATCTCCTATCCCAAGCATGTGATGGTCTCCAATTCCTAGGAAATTAAGTTACTGAGCTGTTTGGAAGAATTCTCACTATCACCTGTGAGCCGATTTTGAACTGGAATTGGGCTACTTCAAGTGAATTACTAGCTGCTTCAATCTCATAATTGTCTGTTCCTTTTGTAGACGTGATAGTAAACATATATTGACCTCATTCAACACACACACACACACACACACACACACACACACTTTACCAATGAGGAAGCTGAGAAGCAGAGCGGTTAAACAAATAGTCTGAAGCCAGTAGAGCCAGGAATTTGTTCAGGCAGGGATTTCTGCCCTGCAGCCCAGGTCCAGACCCCTTTCTTTTAACCATGAGGCTGCTTCTTGTAATTATAATGCTCTCTCCCACAAAAAGATTAGTAGAAGTAGTTGCACTGGTTTTGTTTCTAAATCTCCCTACTCACAGATTGTATTTGTTTGCATAAATTGATCACACTGGCTCTTCCTCACTTAAAGTAAATTGCAGTTAAATTCCAAATCTGTTATACTCAAAGATTCATTTAGGAACTTTCAGAGTTTTTCTTTTTCATTGGTAGGAAGTGCTAACTTATAACATCACACATTCTTCTTCAGAGTTCAGCAACATAGTGGTACATTTCATATCCAACCAGGTGCCTGAAATGAAGGCTTTAAACGCCTGTGCGAGTGCTGTCGGGGAGTGTGGATGGTTCACGCTCTTTGCAGCTTTCTCACACGTGGGTGTAAATCAGAGTCCACGGCTCAGATCCTAAAGTCTTTCGGATAGAAATCACAGAAGGGCCAACAGTGAAAGCGTGTCTTCACGGAAAGCTGCTATTAATGTACGCAAAACGTCTCTGAAACAAACAAGGAGACAATCACTGTCGTTTTTAAGTGACATTACATCATTTAAGAATGTAAAAAGACCTGAGCCCGGTAGAAAGTGGCTTGGAAAAGTTAAAATGTACAGATAACACATCAAATTTTTATTTGTCTTTCCTCTCTTCCCGTTTTGACTGCGCCGTGTTTTCTGTGTCGGGTTTACTCTTTAGGTGGAAAACTCTTCCCTCCTCCCCACCCTCCAGGAAAGATCCTGGGATTTTAAATCGCCTTTCTGCATCTTCCTCTCCTCCCTCCACCATTACTCTTTCATTTAAACTTTCAAGATCCTCGATGCCCGTAGCAAACCTCCTTCCTTCCCATTCTCAGGAATCCTGTAGCTCCCGAACCGGGGAGAGTATTTTTCAAACTGAAAAGCAAGGAAAGAAGGAAGGGAACAGCTCCAGCAGCCGCGCGCTGGGAAAGCGCATTTTCGTTGCCTCGACCGGCGCGGCGTGGCCCTGCTGGGCCACCGTAGCCGGCCTCGCGCGGCCTCAGTCGCTGTGAGGAGCCGCGGTCGGCGGGACTTCCGTGTTGGCGGGATTCTGAACGCTGCCATGGCTCAGACCGTGCAGAACGTTACGTTGTCGCTCACTCTGCCCATCACGTGCCACATCTGCTTGGGGAAGGTAATGGGTGATTCCGGGCACGGCTACGAATCGGGGTCGGGTGTGCAGTGGCCCGCCAGAGCCGAGGCCGGTCTCTGTGTGTGGCGGGGACGCGGCGCGAGGCGCCGGGCTGGTTGAGGACGCCGACCCGCGTTCTCCTTAGGCTGGGGTGGCCACGTCCTGGGCGACGGAGGGAGAGCGCCGCGATTCGTGTGGTCATCTCTGTGCCTTTCGGAGGAAGATGACATCGGTCTGGGGTGTGGAGGGAGGGCGGCCTCACCCGGGCGACTCCGGCGTCGGAGGAGGCCTGGTCAGAAACGAATCCCAGCAATTTACGCCCCTGTGCATCCCCATCAAAGCCTGAAAACACGTTTCCTGGGAGCCTCGCTACGGTTCCTTCGTCCTCTGCACAAACTAGAGTGTTTTGTTCTTGGGCCTCCAGTGCTGGTTGGAGAGTCTTTTCCATTTCCAAGATCATTTCCTTTACTTAGCCCAGCGTTGGGAGTGGCCTTTGCTCTGGGTTCAGAATTAGAAAAATAAATAGTACGTGTCCCTGAATGACGTTTAGAATGAGAGATACGGTTGTTAATTCCAAGAACGGATCAGTCACGAGGTAGAATACCGTCTTTTTGTGATGCAAGAGGTGCCTAAGGTGTTTGTGAAACTAGGTGGAGAAAGTAGTTCAGAATTAGAAGCGGAGTTTTGAAGGTTCTAATGCATTTGTCTTTCATTTCCGTTTGTGCCTCCCCTTCGGTTTAAGAAGAACATTTTGTTTTACTACGTAGGTCTAGAAGGGAGACTTTTTTTCTCACGCTGAATTGTTTTTACATTTGTGGTGTGTTTGTGTGTGTGCGTGTGTGTGTGTGTGTGTGTGTGTGTGTGTTTACCGCCCCCCCCCCCACTGAAACTGTAGCCACAGGCTTAGGATTGAGAAATGCAAACTTAATAGAGCAAACATTTGAGTGTCAGCCAATATGATCATTTGATCATCTGCTTTAAGTCTATGTAAATTTCCTGAGTTCAAGAAGTAGTAGGAAGTCAGGCTTGGAAGAAACTGATAACTCATGATATCCATCAGAATGAAATGCCAAGGAAATAGCAGATGTGCTGTGAGAGGATATAGAGATGGCTTGATCCATTCTGACTGGCGAGATCAAGGATGGCCTGTGGAGGGTGGTTATTTGAGCTGGCACTTGCTACCACTGTCTGCATACATAGCTGAGAGGACGGCAAGATGTTTCAATTTGCTACAGTCTACGTTTGGCTCCTGACTTGAAGTTCCCACAAGTTAGGTTCTGAGTGAATTTACTCCTAACAGTAGCCTGGTAAAGGGCTGATAAAATAACCTTCGGAAATAATTTTCACTTTGTTGTAGTTGTACACATTATATCTAGTTTCCTTTAGTTCATAGACTGTTTCTTGCAGTTGTGTTGAAAATGTGTTTTGCCTGGCTGATTTTGCCTACCTATGCTTCCCGTGCTTAACAAAACTGATAGCTAATAGAATATAGTGCTTTGCAGATTACAGGATGCTTTTGTATACATTTAATTATTTCATTTACTGCTCTCACCAGTGCTGTGAGATAGATAGGGCTGATTTCCCCATTTTTTCAAATAAGAAAACTAAGGCTTAGAGTCTCCAGCATTTGAACCTGTTACCATTTGTGTCTTCAGTAAGTTACTTCCTAAAAACTCACTTGAACTCATGCATAACAGCAGACACTTTTGGTGTCTTTTTTCTGCCATGTACTGGTTAACTGTATTCTAGAATTAAATGTGATTAATTAATTAAAGGTTAATGATTTGTAAATAGGCATTTGTTTATGTCTGCTATGGAGGCAGAAAGGCGTAGTGGTTGAGGGCCCTGAGTACTGTGTTCAGACTAAGTTCTAATCTAGGTCTTCCACTTAATAGTTATACGACCTTATACACATTACTTAACCTCCCTCAGAGCAGTTTCCTTATCTGTACAATGGGAATGATAATAGTATTAACATTCATCCTTGTCTTTTGGGGAGGATTAAATGAAGTAATTCATATGCAGTGCTTAGCATGAAGTTTGGCACTTAATAAATGTTAACCTTTACTATGGACACTGAGGCAGACCCTCAAAATGAGGAAGCCAGCCTTTCCCAGTAAATGTTCTTCCCAGTTGCTTCATGAGACCAGTACACTCACTCAATGAAGATTTACATTCCCAACAGAGTGGGACCTGTTTGTCCAGGAAATTGCCACAGTACATCCAGAGGTTTTAGCTGGTTCCCTATCCCTGTTGCCTTTTGTATAGTTAAAGCAATTCTGATCTGCTTGTGCTACTCACCCTCCCACACACAGCTGTATTTGTGGGGTACTGGAGATGGTATGGCCTGGAGTAGCAGCGGGTTCCTGATGTTACTTCCATCTCCCCGACACACAGCATCTCCGGCCACCTCTGAGATCTGCCTTAAGGTCCTTCCTGACTAGCCCTCTTCTGTATAATCATCCTTTTGCTGCCCTCACCATTTGTACCATATAGAATTAGCAGTCTTCATTTTTGATTTTTCTACAGAATTAGGGGCCATTATTCCTAGAGGTTTACTGTAAAAAAAAAACAACCTTGCATATTACTTAAAGAAGATAGGGGTGGTATAGACCTTAAATCTGAAGAGATAAGGTAGATGCTGATTGAAATGGGGGTGGAGGTGGGGAAGAATGCGGGGGGGAGGGAGCAGTAGTGGAGATAGTCCAAGTATGTAAGTGGTTAATACTCTGTCTTTTGAATACAAATGTGCTTAAAATTGAAAAGTTTAAACATTTTGCATTTCCTACCTCTGACTCTACCTCAGTCTTAAAGGTGGATTCTCTCTGCCCAATAATGTTTAGCAACCTTGCCAATATTGTAAGTAAGAGCTCTTTGTGGCCTGAATAAGTTGGGTACATCCTGTGGGACAATTTATATATAACATTTTCTTGCCTATTCCTCTTTAATTTTTTTCCATGCCTTGGGCTAATAGGCCAGCAGGCCAAAGTACAGAAATGATCTAGCCCAGGATATCTGTTCAGTGACATTTGGTCCTGCCGCCAGAATGCTACAGACCAGTTTATCTCTAGATAATTCCAGGCTTTTATCTCTTCAATTAGGATTCAAGCTATGAAACGAAACTGTTGCAGGTAATACTTTTATTGACTGAGTCAGCGTTTTGCCATGAGTGACAGCCAAATGTGGCCCACAGTTAGTTTTATCAAAGGACAGAGGAGGTTCTCAAGAGAAGTGCCAAGCAACTAGGCTTCTAATGCTGTTTAACATTAATATATCATATCCAATTATTCCTCACTTGAGTATGAATCCAGTTTGGGGCACCATGCTTTAAGATAAATATAAATAAACTAGAGTATTTGAAATCATTTGGAAAGGAATTGAAATTGAGGTTGGAATATAGATGGAATGGAATAGTGTTGGAGTGAATGAACATGATAGCGAATCATTAAATAAAGTATTTTCATTTGGAAGGGAATCAAGCTTTGGGTAGCTCCACGATATTAAGATTTGTACGTAATATAATGCAAGCTTTCTGGCTGAAATAATCAGAAATGAAATCAGCTTTCTTAGAATGTGGAGTGTCCGTCTCTTGAAATGTCCAGTAATAGCATGGACTCTTTCCCACTAGGAACACTGTGGAAAAGAACCCTTCTTTCAGGGAGGACTTCTTGCTTTGCTTTCCACACATGTAGTTGATTTAAAATGTTGCAAAGATAGAGCTAGAGACAAAGCCTTAGCAACTTAGCATCCTAACTCTAGGTTGACTGAATTCATTAATCAGTGTTCATTAGGGGCTGTTGATCGGCCAGCAAGCCACCCACCTCAGTACACTGAGCCCATGTTTGAGTCCTGATTGTCTCTCAGTTCCCAAGAGTAGATTTAAGAACCAGCCTTGTACATAATTGTCACAGGTAATTTGCTTTGAAAAAAAGTCATGTGGAGTATATAAATTTTGCATTTTCTCTTTTCTAGATTAAAATAAGCTTGAAGAATGCAGACACTTTCAGAAAAGTATAACAATGTTGTGTCTTAACATGGAGTATAATAAAAATTAACTCAAAAAAGTGTTGATATATCCTAATAATTTTCAAGGTTGGCATATAATAGCTGACATATTTACTTCACAAATAAGATTCCAGTTTATCCTTAAGGCGTTCTAGGTAGGGATAAAGATGGGAGAGGGGAAATGTATTATCTTTCTTTTTATGTAGACAGAAGTGGGGACCCAGACCAATAGGCATTAAGTATAATAACTTAGTTCTCGGGATCACACAGTTTTAAAGTTCTAGGTCCTACTCTGGCCCAGAGCCAAATATTTCTTGAAACATAGCAAGAGCAATCCAGGAATTTTATTTTTAAAAGTTTCCAAATTTCTAAGGTTGAGTAGGCGGGCCCCTACTACAATCATTTCTACCTCAGCTTTGTTTTTCAGTCTTTCTATGTCTCCACTAGTGAAACCCATAAAATTTTGACATAGGTGCCAGAAGGATATTCTTCGGAGAAGAAGGATTAGCTCTAGTCTCTAGTAAAGGTGACAAGAACAGAGAAGTTGATTGTAAGTGAAATTGCCAGGCCAGCTGGTAAAGTTTATCTACTGCCTTTTCCCTCCAGCCACCTCCATCAGTACAGTACCTCTTTTCTGCAGTCCCTACTGATCCTGGTGTCTTGATCCTTTCAGACATGTGCCTTCTATTTCTTACTCCCAGATTATTATTTACTAAACCTGCTCTAAGGAAGAAAGAACTATTTCTTAGTTGAAAGATCATTCAGTTTGCATGTGTAATGGTGGTTGAATGCTGACTCTGCCACTTAGAACCTGTATCATTATTTCCTTGAGTCTCAGTTTCTACAGCTGAAAATGAATTTGATACTATCAACCCCATTAGGTTGTTAGGGAAATGCATGTGAGTATCCCAGCCCAGTGGTTCTCAATGGGATGGGAGTACATTTCGTTCCACAGAGACATTTAGCAATGTCTATTTCTGATTGTCTTTGGGGGTGCTACTCATATCTAGTGGATAGAGGCCAGGGATGCTGCTAGCTAAACATCCTACAATATACAGGACAGCCTCCCACAACAAAAACTTTTTGTTCCAAAATGTCAGTAGTGTCAAAGTTGACAGACCCTGCCCTAAACCAATATATAACTCCTATTAGGTAAGTCTAGAATGGATATTAATGGACAACACCTTTAGGCATGACTCCTCCCAGGTACGTTTGCTTTTTATGAAAGGGGTTTTTGTGGTAAAGTCTCTTAAAACTGAAACATCTTCAGATAAAAGAAACTACATAGTAGAATTATATATTATAGGGTTAATGTTTTTTATACTTAGGACTGCTTCCTTGGGCCCATTCCAGTGAGGAGAGCCCACTTTTCATCCCTTGCTTTGTCTTCTCTTCCTCTCCTCACCAGCCTCGTGGGGCATTACCCTAGGATATCACCTCAGCATGCTTACTCCACATGAGTTTGGAATTGTACGTGCCACTTAGCTTTGCCATTGTCTTCTTGCATTTTTATTTTGTAAGAGTGCTTACTGTGTTATTGCCACAGATCTCATTTGAGAGTAAATTGGATATAAAGTCTAATAACATAGGCAAATTATGACTATTTCTGTATCTTGAGAAGATCTTATTAAAGAAAATTATTTGTGTATGTGTTTTGGTGTTGTATATAGCAGGATCTGGGCAGAGGAAATGGGTGGACAGGAATTGAAGGAGGGCTAGATTCTTTGTATTTTGCTTCTGTAGGTTATGGTCAAATAAATAACAAGTAATTTGTTTTAGTAGTTCTTTCTCCTTTATAGGTTTCTGTTCTCCTAAGTAAATTTAAACCATTGTCTAGAAATCATCATCTGATAAGTACATGGTCCAAAGAAATGACTTAGTCAACTGTTTCAAAATCCAACACAATGACAATGATAATACCAGGTATTGAACAGTGAAAATGATTCTCCTTTGGGTGACATTGCCAGTGGCTGTTAGCAGACAGAGCCAAGTAGTCTGCCTGTGGTTGTTCTTCTGTATCATTCTGGCAGATTAAATGGAAAGGTTAAACTTTCACTTTTTCAAAATTTGGCAGTGGCCATTGACCTTTTGCTTCTTGAGATGCTTTTAGCAGCATTATCTCAGCCTTTTGTTTTAATACATCAAAATTCACTTCTATTAATCTTAGAGTATACATTGTATAAGTTGTTGTAGGTGGACATAAAGATGAACAGGACAGTGCCCCTGCCCCCAGGGAGCCTGAAATCTAATAGGGAAGGCAGGGTGTAAACAATTTTCCAAGGCCAGTGAACATTAAATCAATGTATAAGAAGTGCTCTTATAAGAATCAGACAAAGATCCAGTTAATTCTAAAAACGATTAGTGAAGGCCTTACAGAAGAGGTAACCTTTGATTTCCTTAAAAGATGGGAAGGATTTTATTTTGATTGGGGAAGTTGGGAGGCCAGTGGAACATATTAAGCTAAAAAATGAGAGCCCAGTAAACAAGGAGACTCTATTCTTATTCCTTTTGATGAACATTGGGTATATCTGTGTGGTTGAAGTATAGGTTTTGTCAAGTATTGAAATAGCAGATCAAAGATATGGCTATTTAAGAACCATATTACATTGTTCTTTGGAAGCTGTACTTAAAACTATGAGCAGGGAAAAAAACGTTGTTTGGCAGGAGAGCAGTGAAAACTGCTGCTCCATATTTTAGATGGCTAGCTCTGGCATCAGTATGAAAGGCGGACAGCAGTGAACATGTGGAAGCAAGGAAGCTTGGGAGGAGGTCATTGCAATAGATTGGGCTAAGAGAATGAGAACCTGAAGTCATTGTGGTGAAGATGGAAAAGAAGTGATAGATGATAAGTAAAAGAACATTTAGAGGTAGGTTTGCCACATTTTGACTATTCTGGGATATACTTTTTTTCCCACGTTATAACATCTCTGAAATCTGGTTCTATTTTACAAGCGATAGCATCTTGCAGTTGTAATTGGCAGCATTTTTCATTCTTTCTTTTTTCTTAGTGGTAAATAAAATATGGGTATATCTTAAAATCTCTGGCTTCTTAGACTGATATATGATACCAGCATTTGATGATTGATTGGATGGTGAGGATAAATAAAAAGGGTGCGTCAGAGACAGCTCTCAGTATTCTAGCCTGAGTGGTGAGGTGGTGGTGCCAGTAACTTAGACAAGAAGCGCAGGATGGGGAGTGAGTGTGTGGAGGCCAGGTTTGGCTTTGGACGTTATGGTTGGGGCAGCTTTAAGATGCCTACATGGAGTTGGCTCCTGGGCATGTGGATATAGTCCTTTTCTCCTTTCCCCTCCCCTCCCCAGGGATCGCTATGTGGAAGTCTCTGTGCTTACATCTTTATATTATTAAATCTTAAGCAACATCTGAATGAAAAGTTTACTAGGTTAAACCATAGTTTTCAGAAGAGGAAACAGATGCCACTGTAACTAAAGGGTTAACCCAAGGTCAAACAGTTCAATAAGTAGCAGAGCTGAAGTCAGCCCCAGGTTTGTCTCTAGAAGCCTAAGCTCTGCCACTTACTAAGGTCCAGTTACAGAGGATTCTCAGGAACTGTTACCATAGAAAACATGTTAACACTATGTGATACATGAGATTGAGAGAGAAAATAGAACTTTGTCAGGTAAGGTGTCCCAGGACAAAACATTAGGGAAAGCAGCTGTACCGCCTCCTGTGCTTTGACTATGAGCATCTGCTCCTCCTCTCATCATACCTACTCTTCCAGTATTACTTCAGCCTTTTCAAGATCCATTGGTTGACTCTATCAGTTTGCTGCCATTCACATACTCAACAGTGTTTGGCAATCCAGCTCTGTACATAACCCTAATAAATTTACTTTCTTACCTTTCAAAACAACTGCTTTATTCTCCTATTTTCTCAAGTCGATATTCCCCCCTTCTTCTCACTTGCAGCTGGTAACCTCACGTCATATTTAATCACAAACAATAAGCAGTTGGAACATGAGTTCCCTCATCTTTCCATCAACAGATCTTCCATCCACTTTGTATTTGTTCTTGTACCCTCGGTTTTCCCTTTTGTTAAAATGGAAGACAGATCCTCACTCCACTCCATATAAGCCAAAATCTGACCCCTGGTGCTTTGGATATCATTCCCCTCTTGACTTCTTAGGGACTTTGCTATCTATCGCTCTTAATCCCTCCCCCTCTTCCTCCATCATTAATTAATATCCCCTTTTTACTGTGTCATTCCTGTTATCATTTCTTACGCTGGCCATATTTTTATGCTCTCTTCTTTACAACAAAATGTGAAAGAATTGCCTATTCCCTCTGACAAGTTCCCCAGTAAATTGAATTTTAAGTACTGTCCTAATAGCAATTACTTCATTCAACAAGACTTTATTGCGTACCTACTGTGTACTAACCTATTTTCTAGGTACCAGGGATTCAGAAATGAATGAGACGAAAGAAGTTCTTGCTCTTACGGAGTTTCCAGTCTAAAAGGGGAGATAAATATAAATTTACAATAAATATGTAAACAAATAAGTAGAAAACTAAAACAGCTTCTCTTCTATTTTCCCTCTGATAAAACAGCTACACAGTCAGAACACCTACATCGTTAACCCTGAGCAGGCACCTAATATCTTCACACCTTGGTTTCCTTATTAGTAAAGTATATTTACTGTTTATCTCACAGGGTTATTGAGAGAGAGAGAGAATGCATGGAAAGCCCATTGTAAAATATAAGACAATATAAATGTAAAGTATTGTTATTTGATTACACTGAGTCAAAGATTTATATATTTGGTGTATTTAAGTATTTCTGTCAGCATTGTTTGCTATTTAGATTGTAAACCACAAGAGCGTATGTCTTGTCTTTTAGGATTGTTGTAGCTTTCATGCCTCTGGTTTCAGGGACTTTCTAGTAAGAATCAGTGCTAAATTGTTGATTGCTATTGCTCTGTAATATAGTAGAATGACTTGAGGGAAGGATTTCAAGTCTTGAATGTCATATGGGTGATTGGACTAAATAATATTTAAAGAACCTTCTAATTCTGACATTTTGTGATCCAAAAATAGAATAGTTGAAGGAAAATTGCCCCAGCCTCAGTGGAACAAAATGCATTTTATTTTTGGCAATAAGTGTGGTTTGGAACAAAATAAAACCATTTCATGATGTGTTCAAAGTTTCAGTCTCTATGACCAGATATCTAAGCTAGTGTCTGTATTATACATGTGTAAGAAACAATGTGGTAGCACAAGCAGCGTTTTTATGAATCCTAGATATTATACTTCCTCTTAAAGCACCTACTTCTGTACTCTAGAGAAGAGATTTGCTCTAAGCTAAAACTATTGAGATTCTCATTACGACTGTTGCCCTGTACTAAAAGTAATGTTTCTTTTTTCAAAGGTACGCCAGCCTGTTATATGCGTCAACAACCATGTATTTTGTTCAATTTGTATCGATTTGTGGTTGAAGAATAATAGCCAATGTCCAGCCTGCAGAGTCCCCATCACTCCTGAAAATCCTTGCAAAGAGATTATTGGTAAGGGTCTATTTTATAAACATATAGAAATAGATTTGAAACAATCTTAAATAGTGTCTATTTGGAGGAAGACTGAAATAGGCAATTTTCAGTGATGTTATCTTGCCAATATCCTACTGGATGGATTGGTCATTTGGCATAATCTGTAAGTGGAGCAATTGAGGAGCACAAAGCACCATGAGAAGTCTCAGAGCCTCCTGGAACTTTCGTTCTGGTAGAGGCTGTGCATGTGGACCAAAATATTAATGGTTTAAAGCAGCAGATGCTAACAGCCAAAAACAAACAAACAGAAAGGTCCACAGAGTTTAAACAGGGAAGTTAAGCTAGGAACATTGAGAAGGGATCCATGACACAGGTGGCCTTTAAGATGGAGATTTAAGGATGGATAAGTTTTCAAATGGTAAAGATTAGGGAGGGCATTTCATGCAGGGGGAATAGCATGCACTACAGTTTAGAAGTAGTAAAGTAAGGCATGTTTTTGGAAATGATCAGTAGTCTAGTTTGGGTCTGACTGTTGAAATAAGACTGAAAATGTAAAATGAGACACTTTTTACTTTTTTTAACATCTTTATTGGCGTATAATTGCTTTACAATGGCGTGTCAGTTTCTGCTGTATAACAAAGTGAATCAGCTATACATATACATATGTCCCCATATCTCTTCCCTCTTGCATCTCCCTCCCTCCCACCCTCCCTATCCCACCCCTCTAGGTGGAAGGGAGGGAAATCACCGAGCTGATCTCCCTGCACTGTGCGGCTGCTTCCCGCTAGCTATTTTACATTTGGTAGTGTATTAGAGCAGAGCATCTTGAGTGACAGACTAAATCGGGGAACTGCTGTGTGGGTGAGAAGGGCGAGGTGGGCATGATGGTCTGAGCAAGGGGATGGCACAACCCAAAATGTGTGTAAGGAGTATCACTCAGGGGATGTGTGCAGGCTGGGCTCCAGGGGAGAAACAGGATGTGAGTAGGTCAGGTTGGACGCGCTTGCCCAGGTGAAGGAGAGTGTGATTCTGGATTAAGGGAATAAAAAAGAACATTCAGTGCTACAGTAGTGTAGGTAAGAGGGGGGATAAAACTTGAACTAGAAGATTCTTGAAAAATAAAGCATTTAAAGAGCTTTTTTAGTGTTATTTCTCTTAGATTGTTAAAATTAAATGATTTTTATTTGGTTTTGCTTTAGGAAAAATTGAAAGTGAATTCATGATAGCATGAATCATAGAAAAAAACCTTTCAGAAAACTTAAGAAGTCATTGTCATAGTCCCAAGTTAGGCAAAATGGACTTAACTAAAATTTTTATAATGGAAAGGAAGGTACATATGCTAGAACAAAAGAACAACCAGTGGAACTTTGGAACTAAGTGATCTGAAAGGGGAGCCGGAGCTGGCTCCAAGGTTTCTTTCTTGAGTACCTGGATGGAGTCTGATAGAGGAATATTTCTCTGCTGTGCTGGAAACTGGAGTGTTAACCTTAGCCTCTACTTTTCTACCTGCACTGACCTTTACCAGGAGTCAGGTCTTTCCTTGAGGAATATGAGTTTTGTTGATTAAAATAATTCGAATGTTTTTTCCCCAGCTTCTTTTCACATCCCTTCTCCCTCCTTTATTCATTCATATCTAAGTGATATTTCATAAATTCTCTCAAGTAAAATGGTTCATCCATCCTGCCATTTGGATAGAACATCCTGAAAAAGAATATCTGTATATGCCTTTGCTATCATGATGCTGAGAAGTACAAAGAAGGTAACCACAGCATAAGTGAAGAGCTCTCAGGAAGAAAACATTTTGAGTGTGTTTGTGTGAGTTATTATGGGCATACAATTAGTGCTGTGATTTATAATCCATCGCAACTGGGTTGTTAGAATCAGTGAAAAGACACGTTAATCTTTTCAGTTGTGTAACCACATATGTTTGAATGAATACATTGGTTATAATAATATATATCATAATATATGTATCATATGTGATATATACAGATAATAATATGTATTTGATAATTATATCATGTACAGATAATATTGATAATATTTATACAACTTATTGGTTAGCTGTAAATATAATCATTGATTTTATTATTAGCAGTTGTCTGGTACTCAAAATTTGCAGTTGTCCAAATGTGATCATTAATAAAATATAGCCTTTGCCTTCATTGAGTTTAATATAATAAGATACATAGGTAAGTAAACACAACATGATATTTTATTGAAGGTATTTCTTATGGTGTTATTTATCTTTTCTCAGGATTAAAGTACAGAAGAGGCCTAGATGGCAGCCCACGTGGTTATAAGGAAAAGGGTAGAAATTAAGCTAGAGAACTATATAGAACAATAAGAAAAGAGTTCATTTTAATTGTCATTCTACCCAAATCAGAATGAAAAGTTAGCTTTTTTTTTCCCTATAGGAGGAACAAGTGAAAGTGAACCTATACTGAGCCATACAGTCAGGAAGCACCTTCGGAAAACTAGACTTGAATTACTCCACAAAGAATATGAGGTAAATAATAATTAAAATGTTAAATGATGACAGCATTGAATTCAAGGTAAAACTGAGCTATCAGTCCCTGGACTTCTTAGAGTAAGCATCTAATGAAATCTTATTTTAAATGCCAGTTTAAAAATATCTTATTTGATAAATTTTTTCTTTTTCCCTTTCCTATTTCAAATAGTGGAAGGGAACAGATGGAAACATTTCCTTTTTTTTCTTTCTTTTAATTTTAAATTTGTCCTCAACAGAAACATTGTTTTGTAAGTTACTCCCTCAAGAGGTGGGAGATAAAGGAAACTCCCTTGTAAAAGTCAGTCTTCCAGCCCCCACAAGGCATTGTGAATGGTCTGGCAAACAGGGACTATAATGGTCATTCTGTTTTTGTTTCTACCTATAAATTCACTGCTAATTATAAGTCTGATCAGTTCTGGTAAAGAAAATATACTTATGTCAGCTACCAGCAAAGAGATTTTGGTGTGAGATATGCTATTTCCTAATTCTTTTTTTTTCCCCATGTAAAACAGTGTTTTTTTTTTTTAATAAAAATTGTGTATATTTAAGGTGTATAACATGTTTTGATATACATATACATGGTGAAGTGATTACATCAATCAAGCTAATTAACATAGCTGTCTCCTCACGTAGTTACTTTGTGTGTGGGGTGAGAGTACCTGAAATCTACTCTCTTCGCAGATTTCCAGTATACAGTACAGTATTATTAACTATAGTCATCATGTTATACAGTGTAGATCTCTAGACTATCTCTATCCTGTATAACTGCAACTTAGCACACCTTGAACCAGCTCCCTATTTCTCCCACCTCTCCATTTCCCCCACCTTGCACGCTTGGTAACCACTGTTTAACTCTGCTTCTATGTATTTGACTCTTTTAGATTCCACATATATGTGAGATTATGCAGTGGTTTTCTTCCTGTGAAGGTGATTTGACATGGTGATGGAATTTTTTCTAAATTAGCTTCATGTTAATGGAATACATATACTTTTGAATAAACATTAGGCCCAGTTGTCATTTTATATCGACTAAATGAGGGATATTATTGCTCTCTTCCTTTGACACAAAATATCTTTAAGTTATACTATGTAAATGGAAACTGCTTCAGCTGCTTTAAAAATTTTTTGAAATAAAGTGGGACATAAATAAATGAATAAATGTTCATTCATATGTTTTCCTGTTTATATTTGTTTATTCATTAATATATTAATTCAAACAAGTAAAGTGATTTTCTCATTTTATAATGCTATTTAACTTGAAATGTATTGTAATTTAAAATAGTAAATAGCACTATCTGTGTTAGCTCTGAAGCGTATTCTTATTTATTTAATATTTATCACACTTAGATGCTAATCAAATTAATCCTTTAGAAGATCACTGGCATATTGAAGTTTATTTTCTAACAACAGAATTTCTGACAATCTTAGTTTAAGATGAAATATCCATTATAGATGAATAAATTGTATCACAGAAAAGAGTTCTAGCCCCAAATGTTTAGTTACTGGATTTAAGGTAGCAAGCAGTTCCACATGGGGAAAACTAATACTTGGAATAGTCTTAGCAGTAATTAAAGATCCAGAATGTAGAAGAGTTAAAAATTAACTACAGGTACTATTCTGAAGTGGAAAGTGAAAGGACATAGTATGTGGTTTTACTCCTACTTCAAATATAGAAGCAAAAATATAGACATCAAACAAAACTATAAATCTTGATCAAAACTGTATTTTTAAATTCCCCTCAGTAAAGCAATTAAACATGCCTCAGAATTTTCTCCTGAGGAATCTACTTCCTTGTTGAATTCATGTGCCTTTTCGTGTTTTATGGATATCTAAAATAGAATCAAAGATTCGACATTTTAATTTTTTTAAATCACAAACTATCATTGAATTAAAATAAAAGCAATGGAAATGCCTTTTTTTTTTTTTAAAGAAGATGTTGGGGGTAGGAGTTTTATTTATTTTTGCTGTGTTGGATCTTCATTTCTGTGTGAGGGCTTTCTCTAGTTGTGGCAAGCGGGGGCCACTCCATTGCGGTGTGCGGGCCTCTCACTATCGTGGCCTCTCTTGTTGCAGAGCACAGGCTCCAGACGCGCAGGCTCAGTAGTTGTGGCTCACGGGCCTAGTTGCTCCGCGGCATGTGGGATCCTCCCAGACCAGGGCTCGAACCTGTGTCCCCTGCATTAGCAGGCAGATTCTCAACCACTGCGCCACCAGGGAAGCCCGGAAATGCCTATTTTTATCAGAGTCAAAATACATGTTGAGAATTTCAACTATATGTGACTTTCTGTCTGCAAAGCTTTTCTGATGCATAAAGAATCTATGTATCTACAGAATTTTGAGTATAAAATTTAAAAGCACATTGGCCTCACTCTAGCATATGTATGTGTTTAGTGTTTCTGTCTACCTGATGGCTATGCAATGCTTTTTCAGGATGAAATAGATTGTCTACAGAAAGAGGTAGAAGAGCTTAAGAGTAAAAATCTCAGCTTGGAGTCACAGATCAAGACTATTCTGGATCCTTTAACCTTGATGCAGGGCAACCAAAATGAAGACAAACATCCAGTTGCAGATAATCCAAGTAAAGTTGACCCAGAAACTGTAGCAGAGTGGAAGAAAAAACTTAGAACAGCTAGTGAAATCTACGAAAAAGTGAAAGATGATGTGGAAAAGTTGAAGGAGGTAAGTTGTGGTTGTTTTTAAAATTCTGTAGTATTTTAAGTACCTTCAAAAGTATAAGTCACCATATTATTTTGAGTCATCATTAGATGATTTGGGGGGAAAGGACAGAAATCCCTGGATGAGCATTTATAAGAAATAGGAAAACTTTTTCTCCTTAAATGTTATTAGCTGCCAAGAAATATCAGGTGGTTCCATTTGTGACTATAATTGGAGACTCTGTAGTGCCTCTATATGAATTTGCATCTTCTTGTGGAAGAGTGACATCAATTTAAAGGATGTATTTCTATTCTTCTCATTGTGGTTTGGCTTAATTTTGTTTTTTAAGCTTATGTTAGTGACTGCCCTGTATGCATAAAGACAAACACCTGTCCATTTCCCTACCTATAAAATGAAAGGTTTAGACCATATCTTTTCTAGCACTACCATTCTCTGATTTTTTTAATATTGTAAATAGTTAAATATTTAATGACTGCTTCCAAGAGAGCTGTGAGTAGCTGCTTTAGACTACTCCATGAAAGAGAATATTTGGCTTATGAGGCAGGTTCATTTTTTTCAATTATTCTTCCATCCATACAACAAGATAAAGAAAGCATAGGTGAAAAGGGCAAACCTCTAGGATTTTCCAGTCTAGGAAAGGAGATGAGATCCATGCTATCAGCACTAGAGGTAATAATCAAGTGCTGTAGAGCTTTGCTGGCCAAAGGGACTAGCCTTTAGCTTGACTTCAGGTTTATCCACAGTGGAGTCTTGTGCTGAATAGAGATGGTTTTGTGGTATCCAGGTCCACAACCACCCATTCAGCCTATGTGCATTCTCTTAAAATACTGTTACTGTGCTGAATTACTAAATCCTGCCTCCTGAAATCATTAATGCTCCATATGATATTTTAAAGATGTGCTACCACATACTGATCTTCAGTGAGGTTAAGTAGCAGAGAAGTATCTGCAGCTTAGTGTGAATACTGAGTCATACCCACGTGTAAAATAAATGCCATTTAGGCTCAGAAAAGGCCACGATGAGACAAAGAAGGGAACTTAGTGCTTTTAGAGAAAAAAGAAACTACAGACATAATTGCACTGAGTTTGTTACAAGTTTAGGGGAAGTGTGTAATTTCTTTGGTTTTCGGAAGCCAACATTATTAGCGTTTTGTCTAAGAAGAGAAGAGGACACAAAAAGGAAATACAGCTGGGAAGTCACAGTATTTATCAATCAGCCATGTCCCCTGTAACTTTTCTTCTTCCTGGACCATCAGTAAGTTCTATAGGGTCTCTTTTATAGTTATTGAATTGCATTTAAATTTTTGGTAATAAATGTTTCTTAGAGCATGAAGATGTGTATGAAAACTTTACTCTGGGCTTATAAGAGTGGTATAGGGAAAAAAAAAAAGAGTGGTATAAGAGATGTATGTAAAAGAGAGCTACATAAAATACAGTTTTTCTTTGTTCTTTTAAAGGTCACGTGTTAAATTCAATACCCAGAGCTACCCCGAGACCTCACAATTATCTGGGATATTTAATAAGCCCATTTTGGATGCCCAGTGAAGATATTAGGTAGAATTAGGCAATAAGCTGGGACATAAATAAATTTTAAAATGCAGCGGCAAAACTTGAATGTAAAGTACAAAATAACAACATACTGTAAATCAAATATAGGAGTACTAAACATTCAGAATAAAGGAATACCTAGAATGAGTGAAATGGACTTTTTTTTTTTTTGAAGTTTTGGATTGTATCTTATTTTTTTATACAGCAGGTTCTTATTAGTCATCCATTTTATACACATCAGTGTATATATGTCAATCCCAATCACCCAATTCATCACACCCCCACCACCATGCCCTGCCACTTTCCACCCTTGGTGTCTATACATTTGTTCTCTACATCTGTGTCTCAATTTCTGCCCTGCAAACCAGTTCATCTGTACCATTTTTCTAGGTTCCACATATATGCATTAATATACGATATTTGTTTTTCTCTTTCTGACTTAACTTCATTCTGTATGACAGTCTCTAGATCCCTCCACATCTCTACAAAAGACCCAGTTTCATTCCTTTTTATGGCTGAGTAATATTCCATTGTATATATATACCACATCTTCTTTATCCATTCGTCTGTCGATGGGCATTTAGATTGCTTCCATGACTTGGCTATTGTAAATAGTGCTGCAGTGAACATTGGGGTGCATGTGTCCTTTTGAATTATGGTGTTCTCTGGGTAAATACCCAGTAGTGGGATTGCTGGGTCATATGGTAATTATATTTTTAGTTTTTTAAGGAACCTCCATACTGTTCTCCATAGTGGCTGTATCAATTTACATTCCCACCAACAGTGCAAGAGGGTTCCCTTTCTCCACACCCTCTCCAGCATTTGTTGTTTGTAGATTTCTGATGATGCCCATTCTAACTGGTGTGAGGTGATACCTCATTGTAGTTTTGATTTGCATTTCTCGAATAATTAGTAATGTTGAGCAGCTTTTCATGTGCCTCTTGGCCATCTGTATGTCTTCTTTGGAGAAATGTCTATTTGGGTCTTCTGCCCATTTTTGGATTGGGTTGTTTGTTTCTTTAATATTGAGCTGCATCAGCTGTTTATATATTTTGGAGATTAATCCTTTGTCCGTTGATTCATTTGCAAATATTTTCTCCCATTTTGAGGGTTGTCTTTTTGTCTTGTTTATGGTTTCCTTTGCTGTGCAAAAGCTTTTAAATTTCATTAGGTCCCATTTGTTTACTTTTGTTTTTATTTCCATTGCTCTAGGAGGTGGATCAAAAAGATCTTGCTGTGATTTATGTGAGAGTGTTCTTACTATGATTTCCTCTGAGGGTTTTATAGTGTCCGGTCTTACATTTAGGTTTCGAATCCATTTTGAGTTTATTTTTGTATATGGTGTTAGAGAGTGTTCTAATTTCATTCTTTTACATGTAGCTGTCCAGTTTTCCCAGCACCACTTATTGAAGAGACTGTCTTTTCTCCATTGTAAATCCTTGCCTCCTTTGTCATAGATTAGTTGACCATAGGTGCCTGGGTTTACCTCTGGCCTTTCTATCTTGTTCCATTGATCTGTACTTCTGTTTTTGTGCCAGTACCGTATTGTCTTGATTACTGTAGCATTGTAGTATAACCTGAAGTCGAGGAGTCTGATTCCTCTAGCTCATTTTTTTCCCCTCAAACCTGCTTTGGCTATTTGGGGTCTTTTGTGTCTCCATACAAATTTTAAGATCTTTTGTTCTAGTTCCGTAAAAAATGCATTGGTAATTTGATAAGGATTGCATTGAATCTGTAGGTTGCTTTGGATACTATAGTCATCTTCACAATATTGATTCTTCCAATCCAAGAACATGGTATATCTCTCCATCTGTTGGTATCATCTTTAATTTCTTTCATCAGTGTCTTATAGTTTTCTGCATACAGGTCTTTTGTCTCCTTAGGTAGGTTTATTCTTAGGTATTTTCTTCTTTTTGTTGCAATGGTAAAAGGGAGTGTTTTCTTAATTTCCCTTTCAGATTTTTCATCATTAGTGTATAGGAATGCAAGAGATTTCAGTGCATTAATTTTGTATCCTGCTACTTTACCAAATTCATTGATTAGTTTTAGTAGTTTTCTGGTGGCATCTTTAGGATTCTTTGTGTATAGTATCATGTCATCTGCAAACAGTGACAGTTTTACTTCTTCTTTTCCAATTTGTATTCCTTTTATTTCTTTTTCTTCTCTGATTGCCATGGCTAGGACTTCCAAAGCTATGTTGAATAAGAGTGGTGAGAGTGGACATCCTTGTCTTGTTCCGGATCTTAGAGGAAATGCTTTCAGTTTTTCACCATTGAGAATGGTGTTTGCTGTGGTTTTGTCATGTATGGCCTTTATTATGTTCAGATAGGTTCCCTCTATGGCCACTTTCTGGAGGGTTTTTATAATAAATGGGTGTTGAATTTTGTCAGAAGCTTTTTCTGCATCTATTGAGATGATCATATGGTTTTTATTCTTCAATTTGTTAATATGGTGTATCACATTGATTGATTTGTGTATATTGAAGAATCCTTGCATCCCTGGGATAAATCCCACCTGATCATGGTGTATGATCCTTTTAATGTGTTGCTGGATTCTGTTTGCTAGTATTTTGTTGAGGATTTTTGCATCTATATTCATCAGTGATATTGGTCTGTAATTTTCTCTCTTTGTAATATCTTTATCTGGTTTTGGTATCAGGGTGATGGTGGCCTCATAGCATGAGTTTGGGAGTGTTCCTTCCTCTGTAAATTTTTGGAAGAGTTTGAGAAGAATGAGTGTTAGCTCTTCTCTAAATGTTTGATAGAATTCACCTGTGAAGCCATCTGGTCCTGGACTTTTTTTTGTTGGAAGACTTTTAATCGCAGTTTCAATTTCATTCCTTGTGATTAGTCTGTTCATATTTTGTATTTCTTCCTGGTTCAGTCTTGGAAGGTTATACCTTTCTGAGGATTTGTCCATTTCTTCCAGGTTGTCCATTTTATTGGCATAGAGTTGCTTGTAGTAGTCTCTTAGGATGCTTTGTATTTCTGCAGTATCTGTTGTAACTTCTCCTTTTTCATTTCTAATTTTATTGATTTGAGTCCTCTCCCTCTTTTTCTTGATGAGTCTAGCTAATGGCTTATCAAGTTTGTTTCTCTTCTCAAAGAACCAGCTTTTAGTTTTATTGATCTGTGCTGTTGTTTTCTTTGTTTCTGTTTCATTTATTTCTGCTCTGATCTTTATGATTTCTTTCCTTCTGCTAACTTTGGGTTTTGTTTGTTCTTCTTTCGCTAGTTCCTATAGGTGTAAGGTTAGATTGTTTATTTGAGATTTTTCTTGTTTCTTGAGGTAGGCTTGTGTAGCTATAAACTTCCCTCTTAGAACTGCTTTTGCCGCATCCCATAGGTTTTGAATTGTCATGTTTTCACTGTCATTTGTCTCTAGGTATTTTTTGATTTCCTCTTTGATTTCTTGAGTGATCTCTTGGTTATTTAGTAACATATTGTTTAGCCTCCATGTGTCTGTGTTTTTTACGTTTTTTTCCCTGTAATTCATTTCTAATCTCACAGCGTTGTGGTCAGAAAAGATGCTTGATATGATTTCAGTTTTCTTAAATTTACTGAGGCTTGATTTGTGACCCAAGATGTGATCTATCCTGGAGCATGTTCCATGTGCACTTGAGAAGAAAGTGTAATCTGCTGTTTTGGGATGGAATGTCCTATAAATATCAATTAAATCTATCTGGTCTATTATGTCATTTCAAGCTTGTGTATCCTTATTAATTTTCTGTTTGGATGATTTGTCTATTGGTGTAAGTGAGTTGTTAAAGTCCCCCACTATTATTGTGTTACTGTCGATTTCTTCTTTTATAGCTGTTAGCATTTGCCTTATGTATTGAGGTGCTCCTATATTGGGTGCATATGTATTTATAATTGTTATATCTTCTTCTTGGATTGATCCCTTGATCATTATGTAGTGTCCTTCCTTGTCTCTTGTAACATTCTTTATTTTAAAGTCTATTTTATCTGATATGAGTATTGCTACTCCAGCTTTCTTTTGATTTCCATTTGCATGGAATATCTTTTTCCATCCCCTCACTTTCAGTCTGTATGTGTCCCTAGGTCTGAAGTGGGTCTCTTGTAGACAACATATATATGGGTCTTGTTTCTATATCCATTCAGCAAGCTTGTGTCTTTTGGTTGGGGCATTTAATCCATTCATGTTTAAGGTAATTATCGATATGTATATTCCTATGACCATTTTCTTAATTGTTTTGGGTTTGTTTTTGTAGGTCCTTTTCTTCTCTTGTGTTTCCCACTTAGAGAAGTTCCTTTCACATTTGTTGTACAGCTAGTTTGGTGGTGCTGAATTCTCTTAGCTTTTGCTTGTCTGTAAAGCTTTTGATTTCTCCATCAAATCTGAATGAAATCCTTGCTGGGTAGAGTAATCTTGGTTGTAGGTTTTTCCCTTTCATCACTTTTAGTATATCATGCCACTCCCTTTTGGCTTGTAGAGTTTCTGCTGAGAAATCAGCTGTTAACCTTATGGGAGTTCCCTTGTATGTTGTTTGTCTTTTTTCCCTTGCTGCTGTCAATAATTTTTCTTTGTCTTTAGTTTTTGCCAATTTGATTAGTATGTGTCCCGGCCTGTTTCTCCTTAGGTTTATCCTGTATGGGACTCTCTGTGCTTCCTGGACTTGAGTGGCTATTTCCTTTCCCATGTTAGGGAAGTTTTCAACTATAATCTCTTCAAATATTTTCTCTGGTCCTTTCTGTCTCTCTTCTCCTTCTGGGACCCCTGTAATGGGAATCTTGTTGCGTTTAATGTCCCAGAGGTCTCTTAGGCTGTCTTCATTTCTTTCCATTCTTTTTTCTTTGTTCTGTTCCACAGCAGTGAATTCCACCATTCTGTCTTCCAGGTCACTTATCTGTTCTTCTGCCTGAGTTATTCTGCTATTGATTCCTTCTAGTGTATTTTTCATTTCAGTTATTGTATTGTTCATTTCTGTTTGTTTTTTCTTTAATTCTTCTAGATCTTTGTTGAACATTTCTTGCATCTTCTCGATCGTTGCCTCCATTCTTTTTCCAATGTCCTGGAGCATCTTCACTATCATTATTCTGAATTCTTTTTCTGGAAGGTCGCCTATCTCCACTTCATTTAGTTGTCTTTCTGGGGTTTTATCTTGTTCCTTCATCTGGTACATAACCCTCTGCCTTTTCATCTTGTCTATCTTTCTGTGAATGTGGTTTTTGTTCCACAGGCTGCAGGGTTGTAGTTCTTGCTTCTGCTGGCTGCCCTCTGGTGGATGAGGCTATCTAAGAGGCTTGTGCAAGTTTCCTGATGGGAAGGACTGGTGGTGGGTAGAGCTGGCTGTTGCTGTGGTGGGCAGAGCTCAGTAAAACTTTAATCCGCTTGTCTGCTGATGAGTGGGGCTGAGTCCCTTCCCTGTTGGTTGTTTTGCCTGAGGTGACCCAACACTGGAGCCTACCCGGGCTGTTTGGTAGGGCTAATGGTGGACTCTGGGAGGTCTCACGCCAAGGAGTACCTCCCAGAACTTCTGCTGCCAGTGTCCTTGTGCCCACGGTGAGCCACAGCCACCCCCCACCTCTGCAGCAGACCCTCCAACACTAGCAGGTAGGTCTGGTTCAGTCTCCTATGGGGTCACTGCTCCTTCCCCTGAGTCCTGATGCACACACTACTTTGTGTGTGCCCTCCAAGAGTGGAGTCTCTGCCTCCCCCAGTCCTGTCGAAGTCCTGCAATCAAATCCCGCTAGCCTTCAAAGTCTGATTCTCTAGGAATTCCTCTTCCCGTTGCTGGACCCCCAGGTTCAGAGGCCTGACGTGAGGCTCAGAAGCTTCACTCCAGTGGATGGACTTCTGTGGTATAAGTGTTCTCCAGTTTGTGTGTCACCCACCCAGCAGTTAAATGGGATTTGATTTTACTGTGATTGCGCCCCTCCTACCATCTCATTGTGGCTTCTCCTTTGTCTTTGGATGTGGGGTATCTTTTTTGGTGAGTTCAAGTGTCTTCCTGTCGATGATTGTTCAGCAGTTAGTTGCGATTCCAGTGTTCTCGCAAAAGGGAGTGAGAGCACGTCCTTCTACTCCACCATCTTGAACCAATCCTGGACTTTTTTTCTAATGTTTCCAGGGCTAAGTGAGTTTTGAACAATTATGAAGCCAGTGTTGAGAATGCAAAATATAATAGTTAGCTGAAGTCTTCATTACTCTTTTAGGTGCAACAAATAGGCAGAACTCTCCCCTTTGTAACTTTACCCACCTGATTCTCCTGAAGTTGAAACTATCTCTAATAGTTGAGGAACTAGCCAGCCCATAAAGAGAATGTTAGAGAGCCACAGGACTGGTGAGAGACCTTGACAGAGGGGATGGGGAAAAGAAATCAAATGAGGTTCTAATTTAAGCCTGTCCTTCATCACCAAAAAGCATTCACTAAGTGCCTCCTCTTATGAGGGCTTAATTCATTGTTTGTGTGTATGAGGAAGTAAATTACTTTTCCTGTGTCTTCAGAGGGGCAGTAATGGTATTTATCAGTCACTTAAAGAATTAACCCTCCACAATCTTGTTTGGTTTGCACCCACGAAGATAAGCAGGTGCTCAGAGCTCAAAAGGAACCTAGATTAGTCTAAGTGAGAGAGTTAGGCTTGGTGCCCAGAAGAGTGTCCTCTGTCCTGCTTCTCTTGTCATCCTCTTGGGGTATTTGTGTGTTGATGGGCAAATAATATAGTCAGAAGTTCTAGAAATTATTGGTCAGATTTTTAAAATCTGTTTTCAAGTTTTCTTGGTTTAAACCTCTTTGTTGACAAATGTTCTTGTGACCCCTTCACTTTCAATGTTAATGTTCTAGTCAGACAATGAATTCCTCTTGCCAGGTTGGTAAGATTGGTTCCTAGTCTAGGGAGTCTTATTTTTTGTTGGAATTGAAAAACACAATGACTAGGGAGTTTAAATGAAGTAGCTTTTAAGAAGACTACAATAGACACACTACTTTTTGGGCTGTCAAGAATCAATATTGAGCTTCTAGATTTCTTAGCAATTAATGTTTTGTCAAGCAGTTTTTAGGTATCATAGAACTCAAAAAAGAAAATCATACTTGGGATTTTTTTTTTTTTTTTTTTTTTTTTGCGGTACGCGGGCCTCTCACTGTTGTGACCTCTCCCGTTGCGGAGCACAGGTGCCGGACACGCAGGCTCAGCGGCCATGGCTCATGGGCCTAGCCACGCCATGTGGGATCTTCCCGAACCGGGGCATGAACCCGTGTCCCCTGCATCAGCAGGCGGACTCTCAACCACTGCACCACCAGGGAAGCCCAGGATTTTTTTTTTAAATCAAAAGAGGATCCGTAGAATTTATTAGAAAACATTGATTCAATTCTGAGAGTCCCAGAATTTGTGAGCCAGAGCATTTGAGAAAGCCATTTTGAAGAAAGCAAGCTATGTTATCACTAAAAACTATTTTTAAATAGCAACCAAAAATCAATCTCATAGCTCAAGATTCTTAGCATTAGTTTTGTGAATAATTGCATGTGGTATAATGTTATCATGCTTAGAGTATTCAGTTATGTGAAAAAGGAAAAGAAAAAAACATATTTGCCATTAGTTCAGTCCCTTAATGACTCTAAGCTGACTAACATAGTTCCGTTTATTTCCCTGGATAGGGGATTTGCAGAGTGCTTGGGGAATACGGATTAAAAATGCTTGGTTGTGTTCACAGTTTCACAAGTCATTCCCAACGGTGGTTTTAAGCTTCTGAAGACATGTTCTAGTATTCAGTTTTCTGATATTGTTGCTCTAAAGAATACAGATGGCTCATGTCATTATTTTTACAAGGCACTTTTGTTTTAACTTGTGCTTAATTATTTTCAACATTTTTTTTTTCTAAGGCAAATAAAAAATTGAAATTGGAAAATGGTGGCCTGGTGAGGGAGAATTTACGACTGAAAGCTGAAGTTGATAACAGATCACCCCAGAAGTATGTATTTTGCTAACAGAGCAATGTTTCAGGTTATGTCAATGTTTTAGAATAAGCTGCTGTTATAGTTTGTGTTTGTCATTTGACTCTTTTCATTGAAGCATGTAAGTTTAAATAGAATGTCTTACCTCTAAACATCAAGTGTATACTTATGTTACTGGTAAAATCTTAGTCATAGTTAAGACTAGTGTTGAAGAAAAGATTTCCCTCTGATCCTTTTTCTGTATCTGATTAGCAAGAGGATTGTTTTATGTGACCTAAAATAGGTGAGCCTTCACTTCGTTTTACATGTAACTGTTTAGTGGTCCTAACAAAGAGTAGGGAGAGTAACATAATGCCCTTTAGACGTTTTCTGAAATAATCATAGTTAAAATTCATATAGCGCTTTCTCTTTGCCAGGTACAACAACCTGTGATGTAGAACTATTATTATTCTCCATTTACAGATGATGAAATGGAGGCATAGAAATCAAATTAATATTTCTAAATCTGCACTGCTAGTAAGTGGTGGAAGTAGGATTTGAACCAATGTAGTCTAGCCCCGGAATCTGTGTTCTGTTACATTACATTGAAAACTATTACACTACCCATTATACTAAAAAGCCTATCTGAAATAGAATTTTAAGGCATCATTTGTTGAATTTTGGACTGATTTGAACTATACAGTTAAATGAATTTATTCTTTTATGATGAGATAGTTTTCACTCCATTCCAAAAGGTAAGCAGTTGGAACTATTGACCCACTTAACAGTTAGTTTAAAATGATAAGAAACCATTGAGAGTTAAGACTTGAAGATTGAGAAAAGATGGGAGACAGTGCTTAAGGTTGTTATTTTTCTGGGAAAAAAAAATGACAAGTGAAAAGAGAATATGGCCCCCATCCCTCTGAGGAGTGGCATATCAGAACTCCACACTTTTCCCATCCAACCATTAGACTTCATTTTTTCCTAATGGAAAAAGACAAAGACAGACATAAACAAACAGTGGAAATTTATCCTACCAGACGTAGTTCTCTGCTTGTCATTTGAAAAGGAGAAAATATTGCTTTCAGTAGAACAAGTGTAGTATCCAGAAATGGTACAAATAAACCATAATTACTCAAAGCAGAGATAACTAACCAATAGACAAAGAAGCATAGCTTTTACTTTTAAATAGTTCCTTCCCCTTTTCTCTTTCACTTCAGATAATGTTGTACTTTGATGAATTAGTGAAATAAACTTAAGAAGTGTTGCCATTATTATATGGCGGTTTGAGTCTCTGCTCTTCTCATTTATTGGCAGCTCGCCTTGCCAGTCATAGTAATACTTGTCCATTAGCCATTTCCCACGGCAGGCTGAATGGAACTAAAGCCATTTTGTTTGTAGCTTTTATTTCTTGAAAAGTTGCCCACCAGATTTCAGATTTAATACTAGCCACCAGGATGTGTGTTTTTAAATAGCCATGACTCCTACCTGATAAACAACTGAAGAATCTTATCTAAAGAAACCGCACTGCTGTCTATTCTAACAAGCAACCACACTTCTGAATCCCATATAACTCTGGGATTTGCTATCTTTAACTTCCATTCCTTCCCTTCAGGGGAAAGGAACAGTTTCACTTAAAAAACGATTTGAACTGACCCCTATTCCTGATCAATTTGCAATGCATTGAGGTATTAAAAGCATGGCTTTTGATTTATAGCCTTAGTTTACTCTGCATCACAAAACCCTAGTGGGATTCAGAGAGAAGCTGACCACAGCTGAAAATACCCAGATCTGGTTCACCTGAAGAGAGCTCCTATTCGTATTGAAAAGAATATGAAATTTCAAGAGTTTAAAAGTAAATGCAAGCAAATAAAAACCATCTATTCCATTTCATTGCCTTGATTAGGAAGTGCCTTGACAAATTATTTTTCTCTTATCTACTTGATTAGGTGTCAAGGTATACTTTTTATACACATGACCTTAGTTTCTTATGTATCTTTCAGGTTGTGCAGACATATTCTACAAATCGTGCAGAAGAGAGAGCTTTAAAATTTAGATACTAGAGAGGAAAAAAATTAGGAAGTTATATTTGTTAGCTTGGACTGCCATAACAAAATACTATAGACAGGGTGGCTTAAACATTGGGTATTTATTTTCTTACAGTTCTGGAGGCTAGAAATCCCAGATCAAGGTTCAGCAATTTCGGTTTCTGGCAAGGGCTCTCTTTTAGGCTTGCAGACAGCTGCCTTCTCACTATGTCTTCACATGTCAGAGAGAGAGTGCGCACGCTCTGGTCTCTCTTCTTATGAGGATGCCAGTCCTGTTGGATTAGGGCCTCATCTTTATGGTCTCGTTTAACCTTAATTACCTCCTGAAGACCCTGTCTCTGAATATAGTCACATTGGGGTTTAGGGCTTCAACAAATGAATTTGGTGGGGAAGTTGGGAACACAATTCAGTCCATAGCAGAAGGTATTTCTTTTTAGGACACTCAAGCAAATATCATGCTATTGCCCCAAAACTAGACTAACATCTGGTGTCAACAAGGGGGACTTAGACATTTACATTGGTCTCAAGTAGATAGTATTGTATAAAAGTAATAAATTTTATAATTTTTAAAAACAGTGCTATAATCTTTAAAATGAAATCTGGATTATCATTTATCTCCTATGCTATTGTTTTTCTAGTCTATCTTTTACCCTCGATTATATCCAGTCTTAAAGTGTACCTGCATATTTTTCCTTTCTCAACTTTAACTTAAAAGCCCTTTTGAGCAGTGTGGCAGATATCCTACTAATCGTACTCTTCTAGGTTTCAATAATATCCATTCTATTCCTTGTCAAAAATTCATTGTCTCGATATCTAAACTGGTGGTCCAGAAAAATGCGATCTTTTTCTTTGACTTGATGTAGCCAAAGACTTCCTGAATTTGTCTTCTAATTTGTTTCAGCTGGAGAAAGCCGTCTGTTTGCCCTTTCAGTTTTCTCTAACATGGACTCCTAAGAGAATCAGATTTAATATTCAGAACTCAAGAGGTGGTGGTAATGTCCTTCAGTTTACAAGACTGTTATGCGAAGAAAACTTACTCTCCCAACCAACCCAGAAATACTAAAAGTTTATTTACTTGACAGTATCCTAGGTGCTTTGAACTATACAAAATAAATACTCTTTCTGACCCCTAAAGTAGGTTAGGTTCCCTTGCTGTAATTTCTCTTACTACCTTGTACTTTCCCTTTTTAGCACATATCCCAATTACTAATAATTAATGTTTTGTGTAATTATTTGTTTCATGTTCTTCTGTTTGAGTGAGGACTATAGTTTTATTCACGGTTGTAGCCCTGCATTTTATAGTGTTCTGGCTAATATTCTGCTCCTAGTATATATTTGTTGAGTAAATGAATAAAAACGTAGCCCCCAAGACTATGAGAAAACAGACAGACAAATCCAGAATATGGTACAATCAATTGGAAAAATGACCAGATTTCTTCATTAAATCATTGGCAAAATGGGAGGGGAAGCCTGATTTACAATAAAAGAGGACTAAGAGATATAATAACCAAATGCAGTACATGGATTTTGTTTGGATATTGATTAATAACAAATGTCAGAAGACATTTTTGAGGCAATTGGATATATCTGAATATGAACTAGATATTAGATGATACCAAGGAATTACTGTTAATTTTGTTTAGGTCTTATGGTTACTTAACAAAATGTCCATGTTTTTTTTAGAAATGCATACTAAAATATGAACTATAGTATATTTTAACAAAAAAAGGGATATATATATATATATATATATATGTGAAATGAGGCAAAATCTTGATAATTCTTGAATGTGGGTGATGAGTATATGGAGTTTTTCCTGTTCTTCGATTAAAACCAACAAAACATAGTCCTTGCTTCCAGGAAGTTCATAATCTAATGAAGACGAGAAAAAATACATGAAACAATTAAATACTAAATAGTTACTAAGTCAAATAGCAGAGACAGCAATACGAGTTCGCAGAATGGCCAGTTGGTTGGAGTGACGAGAGTCTTTATCTAAGAGGCAGGACTTGAGCCCAGCTTTGAAAGACGGAGATTTCAGTGAAGAGGAAGGCATTCTGAGCAAGAGGAAACAGCTTGAGCGGTTAGGAGTATTAAGAGGTCCCTTCAGCTCTAGTTCCTTGTCTCCAGAGTAGCCACAAGTCATGCCCAAGAAAACACGGTGGCTTCCTTCTCAAACTCAGCAGAGCAGAGGTCCTCTGTGTAATTTGCACATCTCTCCATTGTGACCGTCATCATCCCACTTAAACAGCTGGTTAGCACAATTCCACTGCATCTAGTACTCCACTACATTCTGCTCTAAGCAGAAAGGCCTGTTCTCAGTCTCCTATTTAATGGGGAATGCCAAGTGTCACACCTCCACATGATAAGAAACAAGAATAAGAAGCTGAAGGGAGGACTTTAGAATTGCGTTTCTCTATTCCTGAACTGTGCCAGGAAGTGTGATATATTTGTCCATGATAGAGAGAGGAGTTCCTTAGTGATTTTTTTCGCTCGAAGGGGTATGAAGAATTGATTTGTAAAGCATTTGAGAGTCCCATGCCCTCTCTCTGAGATCTCTGTTCAGTTGTGACATTTTTTTTGTTCTAGTCATGCTAGGCAGAGTTTGTGCCATGTTGCCGCCTATTATGAGGCTTTAGCAGAGCAGATGTCCATGCCCTTAGCTTCTAACTTACCTTAAAGCGTAGGGTATAAAGCTCCATATACAAAATTCCATAGGTCATTTAAATCAAACCTGGTTATAATTGGATTAATGGCTTTCCTTTCTATAAATATGTGTTTGGGAATGTCATTGTATCTTTAGTGAGATCTGTGGGTTTGATACTATGGTAGTGTTAAGCATCATTTTTACTGCCCAGCAGCCCCAAGGCTTATCATTATGGACCAGTCTTCACCCATGCCTCAGCTCCTTCTGGGGGAAGATAAAGGCTCCAGGTACTCTCTAGATGGTGAGCAGTATTTCCTATTATTAGTACATGAAAAAAGTGCTC